GCTTTAGAAAGAATATTTAAACTTTAGGTATAAGAGATTTAAGTCGGGATTTAAGTTAAGAAAGTTAAAAGTCGGGATTTAAGTTAAGAAGTTAACGAAGTTAAGAAGTTAAGAAAGTCAAGTTAAGAAAGTTAAGAAAGTCAAGTTAAGAAAGTGTAGTATGCACTTGACACGATGCACTTCACTCGATGTACTTCACTCTGACCTACTTCACTCTATGTACTATGCACTTCACTCTGTGTACTATGCACTTGACTCGATGCACTTCACTCGATGTACTTACTCTGAAGGGCTCCGCACGGAAGAACCCTTCGCGAAGCTTTCGGGAATAGTAGGAAAAAAGGACTTTATTACGAGGGGGCGGCTTCAGGACCGGGCGCGCTATCCAAGGTACACTCGGGTTTTGCGATGAAGGCACACTCGGAAAAAAAATCCAAGGTGCACTCGCATGTCGCTTCTGTACCGACCGTAAATTTCGAGCTGCCGTGCCCCCGAATCTGTTCGGGCCCTTGGCTGTGCACTCGCACGTCGCCTCCGCACTGTAAAAATCAGGCTGCCGTGCTCCTGCCCGGGTCTGTTCCTGCCCTTGTCATGCCCCTGCCCTGGCCTTGTTGACTCACTGAAAGCCCCACTTCCCCAAGCAAGCTAAGCAAACAACTTTTTGACTGTCGCAGAACACTGATCTCAGCCGTCTAGCCATGCCTGGAGCAATCGCCAATGCCGTGCAGCACGACCTGGAGTTCCACCCGGCTGCATGCGGGGCACATTGGGAAACTCAGCGCGAGGTTTTGCAGGTTCCTCAAGACGGAACCCCTAAGGAGCGAATCCAGTGAGAATGTGTTGCCCAACACGAAAACCCTCAGGAATGAACCAAGCAGGAACCTTTTCCCCAAGGCGGAAACCCTAAGGAGTGAATCCAGTGAGAGCCTGCTGCCCAACACGAAAACCCTCAGGAGTGAAAGTAGCAGGAACCCAGTGAGAATGTGTTGCCCAACACGAAAACCCTAAGAAGTGAAAATAGCAGGCGGAAACCCTGAGTAGTGAATCCAATTGGACTCTGTAGCCCAACACGAAGACCCTAAGGAGTGATATTAGCAGGCACCTTTTCCCCAAGACGGAAACCTCAAGGAGTGCATCCAGCAGGAACCTTTTGCCCAAGGCGCAACGCTAAGGAGTGCAGGATTCTTTTACCCAAGACGGAAACCCTAAGGAGTGAATCCAATGAGAATCTGTTGCCCAACACGAAAACCCTAAGAAATGAAAAGACGAGAACTTTGAGGAGTAAATCCGAAGAGAATCTTTTGCCCAACGGGAAAACCCTGAGGAAAACCCTGAACCATGGAGCCGGGCAGGGGCACCGTAGCCTCATTTTTACAGTAATTGATTAAATGACCCGGAGTCCGCCCTGGATGCACAAGAGGCGTGACCCAGACATTCGAAAAGTCACTAATTATCACTAATCGTTACATTAATTAGCGTAGGTTCCCTTAGTTAACGGAGGTTGCAATTAACGTATGTTTTCAAAAAAGCGCTAGCTATCCTTGTCCCTGCTTCCGTGAAGCCCTCACCCGTTAACTTCCGAACACCTTAAGTCTCTAAAACTCAAAGATCCAAAATTTGTATCTGTAAGCTTCTAAACCTAAACATCGCATCTCAAACAGGATCCCGGCACAATATGAACCCCTAAGCCCCGAAACCGCTTCGCCAAAACCTTGCCGAAAGTATTTTTATTATGTGTATATATATATATATCTGTGTGTGTGTGCATATGTATGTACATATTATTTTAAGGAGATTATTCATGCTTTTATCCAGGCAAAAACGGGTCAGATTTGCTTAGCGACATCGTATAATATATTTGGATATACTAGAACAAAGACCTAGAAACGTGATATGTTTATTAAGGTTTTTGCTGTTCATGTCATACATATTAACATACGAAAGCATATCACAAATTGTGTAGTAGTTCTTTTCTCACATAGTTAGTTTTTTGATATAGAACTCTGATGAACTATGTTTGTGTGCACATGTCGCACACATATATACATACGTATGCATATGAGTCGGTTTGATATATCAGTGTATATGTGATATATGTGGTTTTAAATCTTTTTAATGTATGCAGGCATATATATATATGTATATACACACACATATATATGTATACATAAAGGTGTGAAATCCAAGCCCAAACTTTTAACTCTTTTTTAGCAAGGCGGAAAGGAGCTTAGGGTTTCCTAATTGGGTTTGGGTTCCGGGTTTTGGGGGTTTGGGGTCTGGACTTTGGGGTTCGCTCTCCGGGCTCTCGCGCGTAGATTTTGGATTTGGGGTTTGGGTTTTAGGTTTTGTATTTGGCGTGGGTTGGGATTTTTGGACTTGGGTTTTGGGTGTAGGATTTGGGGCTGGGGAGTTGCTATTTTGGGGCTTTGGTTTTAGGGTTTTGGGTATGGGGTTTCGGGTTTAAGCTTTCGGGTTTGAGTTGTGGGGTTGGGACTTGGGGTTCGAGGTTTTGCTTTTTTTTTTACAATCTTTTCAATTTATTGAACCGTTTGAAAATAATTGAACATGCTAAAAAAATGTATCGTAAAAGAACCGAAACATACGCAAATTTGTGAAAATTTTGATCGTAAACGAACCGAAACATACGAAAATTTGTGAAAATTTTGATTCTTCAAACAATTTTAAGATTATTGAAAAACTTGAAATATTATTTAAATGTTCTTCAATCGTTCTTGTTATAAGATTTTCCTTCCAAAAAGCATAAACAACCATTTTTGCATTGTTTTTGAAAAAGTGAGCAATTTCAACAAAACTTTTCAACTTTGATTTAAAATTTAGGCATTTTAAAAGGTTTTAAAGATTTTTGAAAATTAACATTTGTTTAAAATTATGTCTTTAAAATTTTCAAATTTGAAAGTTTTGGTTTTCTGTGGTATTTACAAGGAAAATCGAAGTTTTTACATTCAAAAATCAATATGTTTAAAAAATATGAAAAATTTTGAAATTTTAATTGTTTCACTTGTTTCAAAATTGGAGATTCAAATTAAGACTATACAAACTTACTTTTAGAACAACATTATAAAAATGAATCAATCTTTATCATTGTTCAAAAATACTGAATTTTTTAAAGGATTCTAAGTTTGAAGAATTTTGAAGCATTCAAAAAAACTTTTCAAAACATGTAAAATTTCTTTTAAGTTAAAAACTTTCAATTTTTGAAAAAAAAACATTGGTACAACACCCAAATTTTTCAACTTGAAACATTTTAAAAATGAAAACGTAATAAAGGCACAACAATAAAAACTAGTGTTCTTTATGTTTTCTATTTTTAACTTTGTATTTTGTTTATTTGGGGTTGAGGGTCTGGGCTTGGGGCTTCGGTTTTCGGGTTTAGGCTTTGGGTTTGGGCTTTAGGCTTTGGGATTTGGGGTTTGGGGTTTGGGGTTTAAGCTTTGGGTTTTGGGATTTTGGATTTTAGACGTAAAAACAATACTTGAGTATGTTTTATGTTGACAAAAAATGTCAACATTTAGGTGTTGGGATGTAAAGTGTATATGTGATTTTTTTAAAAATAGATTATGCATATTTGTGTATTAAACCCGAAACCCTAGCGCCTAAACGTATTCAAGCCCTTGCCCTGTTTCCTGAATCCTGGACCCTAAAAGCTTAAACTCCAATTCCACCCAAACCATCCCAAACCCTAAACCCCAAACCCTGTATCCTAAACCCTAGATCCTAAACGCCTAAATGCCAAGGCCACCTAAACCCTTTTTACAAATCCGAGCTTCGCAACCCGGGCCTGAGCCCTAACCCCAAACACTCAAAATCAAACACCATTGCCTGTGCCCTGAGCACTGACACCCTCAATCCCAAACCTAAACCCTACACCTTGCAAGCCCAGCTTCCTATACCCTACACCGAAAACTCAATAAATTTAAATACAAATATATATATATATAGATAGATAAATAGATAGATAGATATATATGTTTAGAGCCAAAGCAGTCAACCTGAAAAATCCCAAGCCTTTCTGCTAGGGCCGGCCCGGAGGGCACTGTCCGCGTGCGGCACATCCTCTTCCGGCATCCACAGTTGCCACAGCCTCGATGAGTCAGGGTTCTGAATCTCTGAGATATCTAAGGTTGCTACCACTACCGCTGCCACTACTACTAC